TGGTAAAATATAGCCAGATACAAATTACACAAAAGGCTGTATAATGTACTCCGAAATAAAGTAGCTGTGATCATATGCATATGTGTTCGTACTTTTTACATAACATAACATTAGTATTAGTTTTCAGTCAATACATTGATATTATCACAATTAATTTTGCTGCACACTTGAGACAAATCATGAGTGTATTTTTCATAATCAAAACACAGTTGCAAGTGGGTTCCAATCGTCTGATGCACCACTGTTGTTATTGGTAAAATACAAGTGCTGATGGGTTTCAAACCATTATGAAGTGTTTGAGACCAGCACCACTTTTGTGTTGCTTTAAACATTCAGCTGACACGTTCACAGCTCTTGACGGATCGTGTAAGATATGATGGTTTGTGATTATATCTTGAACGTAAATATTGATTACATGTTGTAGCGAAGTTTAATATAGATGAAAAGACATGTTTGTTACACAAAATATTTTTTTCAAATAAAAACTTCTCACAAGGTATTCGAAACAAAACAGTGAGCAACGAACGTTATTTTAACACCGAGTTTGAGCCACATGTACAGCATGCAGCCTATTCAGGAAATCTCGCACAATTATCCTAGCAGCTATTGAGGAGGTGCTCTTAAATTAACCGTTTACGATTACCCCAAAGGCAGTATGTCCAACAATGCACTTGTTTTAGTATTTTTAGGGGTAGAACAAGGAGCGTTGTCCTCAGTTAGGATAACACCACGGTATCAAATGCTCACATGTAACCTTAAAGTAGAGTAACAACATTCGTCAATAAGACGAGTATAATCTGATTTTGTTGATGTTAGTCCATCGTTGTAGTGTGTCATTGTTGACATCATTTATAGTACTGATTGAGTACCAATAGTTTCTTATGATAAGTTTGACACATTCATCGGCGAGGATTTGCACAACCGACAAATACTTCAGTGAATGTGGCTAAACAGTTATCAATGGTTGTGAAACTGAGGAAGGATACTTGTCAAAATAAGAACTGTATTACTTTAAGTAGTTTTATGCAGTGAAATATATCTATAATATCACACTTGTCACATTCCTGATTTTTAAACTGATTTAGTTTGTCATTAAGGATGCCAATTTGTCTGTTATTAGAGTTTATCACTAGGACATGTATTTCTAACGTATATACTATTTGAGCTGACTGTCAAAATGAAAACAAAGAGGTTTAGTGTGCATTTATAGCGCAAGCTGCCATTGCAACGTACATATTGACAAATAATGCATATTTATCCATCATAATGACCGATATATAAGTTCATAATAGTGAATGAATTGTAATTAGTTATGAAAAACATGTGAATAAGTTTAACAATAATCATCCCAAATTGATTAAGGCATTTCACCTTAATTGACAAGTTTTACTGTTTGCGAGAGTAGTGATACTGATCGAGACTAATTATGTTTCTTTTATGATGTAAATGGCCAAATGGGTACATGTTCAATCATACTGGGGAAAATTTGTTAGCATATAGGGCCAATATGAAATGTTACAAATCGATCAGTCAAATTCTTCAACACTAAATGTGTAACTGTGCTTCACTACACTAGTGTAGTGTACTATAAGAATATTCTTATAAGTTAAACTAATAGCACATAGCTACTTACAGTGTGGGTAACATCTCCTTCAACAACTCCAGGTATCACACAACCATGTACAGACATGTCTTGCTCAATAGCTCCATGCGTGCATGTCATGCTGTTGTGAAGAGCTTTAAACATATTAAGTCTTTGAATGACATTGCATGGCATATTGTTTGTCTACCTTGTAACTTACCATCATAAATTTAATGATATCCACCGTATCTAGGAACTGTTTGTATGTGCGTCACAAGCCCTGAAATGTGGCGATAAATTGCCCTACACCAACATGACGTTTATTTGCACTCTTTACAATTTGCCCTGCTCACAACAAATGTAGAGACAGATGCAGTAAATAACGAATGTAGTCACATCCAAATTGAAGTAGTCACACCGAGGAGAAAACCGACACGAAGGGATTACACAACGTTAGGTTATTGTTGCTGGGGGAGCAGCCATACATGTTTGAGGTCCTTTATATTGGCTGAGCAACCAATAAACTTACAGGGGGTGAATCAGTAGTCTGACCCTGACAAAGCACTTGAAATGATTGTTGAAGTGAAATTTATGATGGTAAAGTGATCATTGAAGACTGAGTAGAATAACATAGTAATTACGTCACTGAAGTAGCCTGACACTGATCTTAGGTTCATACAAGTAAAGAATTTACATTGAAATATTATTGATCATTATTAGGTGTAAACAGTAGGTGATATTTACATAATTTGAATAATGATTTGCTTATCAATGCGGAAAGCATGAATAAATCAACAGCTTTCTTACGAGATGAGGTGCAACTGGGTTAAACGTCGCGTCCAAGATTACTGCGCTTACATACTGACGTGCATGCACGTGTGTGTATGTGTGTGTGTGTGTGTGTGTCTGCCTGTACTAGTCCGGATTGATGTTGATTTATAGTGCTAGCCCACTGAGATACCATGCCGAAGTTTAACATAAATATCCTACTCAGACACAGTATGCTGACTCCGAGCCGACCAGGGGTTATCCCCTTAATGCCGAGCGCCAGACAGGGTTACAACAAGTACAATCTTTTAACGTCTTATGATATGACGCGGTCGGGGATCGAACCCCGGACCTTCCGCTCTCCGGGCGGATGCTCTACCACACCACTACGGAGGCTGGCTGCTTTCTTACGAACTTCGCACCAATTCTACAGACTATACATGGGTGGATGGGCTCGGTGATTTGTTTGATTGTCCGTTATCGTACCCGTCGGTTAGCAATATATGCAGGCCATCATCAGTTGGCTGGATACCAGTGACGATCCGGAGTAGAACAGGTCTTTAGCTACCCATGCTTGCCGCCAGAGGCAATTATGCTTGTTTTTAGAGGCAACTAACGGGTGGTCTGTCTTACTGACTTGGTCGATGCATGTCATCGTATCCCAATTGCTAGGATCTATGCTCATGATGCCAATCACTGGGTTGTCTGGTCTAGACACGATTTTTTACAGACCACCGTCATATAGCTGGAATATTGTTGAGTGTGGCGTAGAACAACAAACATACATATACATTTGGCTGGAATATTTCTGTGTGTGGCATAATACATGTATATGTGCAATAATCTTCAACGCGACCTTAAACCTCATTTCACCTGACCTAACAAGGGTATACATATATACGTGACTCACATCTGACACATTTAACCAGACAAAAACTTTAGACAGTGACTGATGATGAGATTACTATATTAGTTCTCATCGTCTATCAAGAGTCTTTGGATGTCCTTAACATGTGCAGAGTCTGCCATTTTCATCTCCGGTCTATTGGCAGCATAGATCATCTCATAATCCGAGATGCAGATATTTCTGAATTTGATGCATCAATGATCAACGTGTCTGATGTAATTCCCAATTTTGACTCGTTTCATATGTTCCAATATTTTTTTCAGGTGAATAATTGACTTATTGTTTGTGACAAGGGCCATCGGTGGTGCAGCATACGCTCACGCTTTTTTTAAAAACACTTGGAATAATCAATGCTTGATAATGATTCATATACACATGCTTATGATACAGATAGAATCGTACAATTAACTCTTGTTTTCTTATTATTATGGAAATACTTTTGCCACCCATACGTTTCTATAATTCCGACGTCTAGCAGTCGGATACATGTATCATATATGTAATCTGATGATATTAATGTTAAATTCCAGTATACGCGTGTGATTAAGTCGGAATCGTACAATAGGCTCTGCTTTTGGCAGAAATTTCTCAAAATTATTGAAAGGGTTGTGTTACCACTATTATTGACATCAATTTTTAATAATTATTCATATCAGAGTTGGAATGTTTCCTCCATGTTTTACAATTGCATCACCTTGAAGGTCAGGTTGACTAGTAATTAACCAAGCATTCAAACTGATTATTTTCCAATACCTTTTCCCTATCTGTGGTTGGAATAGGATATTCAGCTAGCAATGCATGTCTCCTGGGATAGACTGTCGTGAACTTTTCGAAAGTTCAAGATCACCCGAATCAGAAAGGAAACATTGTTACCTTTCGATTCCCAAAAGGAAACAATAGGGTTACCCAGAAATCTGCACGCAAGGGAATTTAGTGTGAAACCAACAATAATTGTATTACAAAATTGACTAGGTGATGACGTCCATCTGGAGTCACAAAAGATGATACCCGCTTGACACACTGTCAGTGGAATCTGCCAATACAATAGGTCAAACTTACTGACGTACTTGGCTCAACTAATTTTGTCAATGCATTCATGAATTCTCGGTATTGGATAAGAGTCAGTTTCAGAAACAGCTTTCACACGTTTCATGTCTGTGAAGCATCTGTAACTACCATTTGGCAAAAGAATGAAGGTGAACTCCAGTCACTTTGATTTGATTTGATCAGGTACCCATTCCTAGTTTGCTTGTGTTTATTGGTAGCGTTGCAAACCCTACCCGACAATTCACAGTGCTACTAAACCTCACCTATTATGGTTATGCACGTCTGCACAAGTATCAACACCATTGAACTAACAATAATTCAACAGGGCAAAGAACTTGATGATGATACAAAATAAGTTTCACTACTGCTTGCAGAAACTGTTCAAACCAAATGTACTGTTTGAACCCTATATTCGTCCCGATTATAATCATTGGTTTCTTAGCTCCGCACTCGTGGCATGGGTTTAACTGCAGGAAGTCTACAGTTCCTCCCTTTTCAGCAATAGTTAACTGTAACTGGTATCAAATTGTCACGCATTTGGTATTAATAGTACTATCATTACCTTACCATGTAGTGTGTGAATGCATGCGTGCTTGCTTGTGTGATGCAGGTCCATTAAGTCATAATCGTGTGTTGAGCATTTGACGATTCGTGTAATCATTTTCATAGATGTAATGCTGATAACATAATTCATTATAAGCCAGTATTTTTTTTATTACAAAAGATATTCTGATGGATATGTACATTCGTGTAAGCCACTTCTTGCATAATTCAAGGAAATCATCACTACACTAAACCTTTATTCTGCTATCAAAGTGTCTAAGGGGTTGATGGCATTTTCTATTCGTCGGTGGCCTTTTGGGGAGAACCACGTCATCAGAAAACGTCATCAGGTGGGCCTAATTAAGTTGAATACGAGTCGTTTTGCCCCCTTAGTCAGTTTGAAGCTTCTTTAATTGTTTCAATAAATGCAAACATGACAATGCCAATCTACACAGCGTTTCTGAATCATCGAAGCGTATCATTGTCAGTAAGATTAGCGTTCACTAAGAAATTCTCAAATACATTTCAAAAGTATCCATTGTGATTCGTTGTCAGCTAAGGAAGAAACGCCATCAGGATGAAAGGAAGAACAACAGTGGTCGTACTGTACATCCTCAGGGTGGAAACTGCAGCATCTACACAACAGAGAATATTAAATACTAGTATGCTACACACACAAACGGCTAAGACGTTTAACTTAAGCTTCAGGTATGTCGATGATCTGTTCTGGTTCAATAATAGTAAAATAGACGATCATCTGAACTTGAAATTATAGATGCCAGTGAAACCGCCTCACCTGTTCAATTTAGATTGATGTGACCAAAAGTTTGTCTCTTGTTTGACTTGTATCAAACATTACCGTGTTTGTTCAGGTGAACAATTGACTTGCCTTATCATGTGTTTGTGATGGGTGACAATGGTGAGGCAGAATACGGTCACCTTTCTTGAATTACTGGTATCATCTCTATTTCATAGTCTTCATAAACATATGCTGAATCGTACAAAGGACTAAGCTTTCAACAGAGCTCCCGTATTTTACCAATATTTGCATGTCAATGCCCGATAGCTTTTGCTATTGTTACTTGAATATAAACAGGTGACAACTTTGTTACTAGATTTCTTATTTGGAAAATAATCAAATTCATGTATAACATCACGATTCATGTCATCATTCGTGAATACATGTACTCTCTTTGGCCGAACAAGCCTCATTTGAAATGGACATAACTTCACAAAGTGAATGGTGTCTCCGTCATCTACAACTTGGGCCCGCCAGCTGTGGTTCGTATGTCAGTCCTTCAACCGACTCTCATACTTGTAAACTTTCGGTCTCACCAAAAATGTTAAACTGACTGTCATGATAGGAAGGCCATACCCTTAACTCAAATCTATCTCTGATTGTCCAGATTATTAACCTTGATAATCAGTCTATTAAGGTTTCCGTGGTCCGATTGATTTTATTAGACTTGTTTAATGTCCTGTGTGTGTCGAGTAGGTTATAATAGGGTATATGAGAATTGCAGTTTATGTATATGCAAAACTGACAAAGAACGTGCAAGCTACCCTACAGGATATGCTTACTCTTTTCGCAATGGAATCTGTTTCGGCAGATATTCGAGATAGATTACTATGTGGCCGTCACGTTTTATATTTAATGACCACAGAAGCCTATAAATACGTACACATACAATAAGTGGAGGGTGTAAGTGTCAATTAAACTCTGCCGTAAAGGGGCAAGATGATGGGCAAGAAAAATAATATTCATTGATAAATTGTGTTGGTGATTCAACATGGAACAGACAAGAACATATAGAGGGATCTTTTATACTATATTTACCAAACTGCAAAACCTTCAAAAAGGTGTTACTTTTTCTCACAACCTTCCTACACGTACGTTTCTTCCTATTTAAATGAATGCATTATGCGAACTGAGGCTAAACAGAAAGAAAGAATATTTCGGTAACAATATTATATTCAATACGGAAACAATTGTTAGCCAATGCATGCATGTATCATTGTTGCTACTATCATGAGTATAAACTGGCAAATGGAATCCGAGGTTGTTATGAAAGGCACAAGATGGACATTCAACAATATCAAACTGCCTGATACTTACTACATGTAAGAGTTGCAAGTCTCCCCTTGGGCTTGTCTATGATAGCAGAAGCTTTGACTCCAGTCTTGCATGTAACTTTCTCTCCTGCGTCAGTGAGACATTGGATGTAGGTCCCTAGCGGCCTAAAACACATGATGGTTGCGTGTTACATTTCTAACTATCTAAATGTAAATATGAAATAATGTATACACAAAATAAAATTGAATAAACTGAACGTAAACAACGGCTGATATAATGAAATGTGAATATGAAAAAAAGATAATGTTTTCATTTTCAAGTATATTACTCAAAAGAAGTAAAAGGCACTCATTCTTGCACGATAGTAAAGTTAATTTGTCATGCGATAACATAGTATGTTTGTATGTTTGTTTGTTGTTTAACGCCGCACTCAGCAATGTTCCAGCTATATGACGGCAGTCTGTAAATAATCGGGTCTTGACCAGACAATCCAGTGATTGACAACATGAGCATCGTTCCACGCAATTGGGATCGATAAAATGCATCAACTAAGTCAGCGAGGCTGACCACCCGCTCCCGTTAGTCGCCTATTACAAGCATAGTCGTTTTTAAAGGCAAGCATGGGTTTCTGAAGACCTATTCTTCTCCGGATCGTCATGGGTACGGTAACATATTAATTATAGTAATATGAAAGAATATAATGTTCTTTAACTTATTTGAGGAGTATATATGTCAGTTTATGCGAGCATTTCATTATTGAAGAAAATATATGACAATTTGGAGTCTACCCGCATGCGTTGTTCCCGGATAGGTCGCTTCCCCAGAATGTCTTTTGGCATGTACAGGGCAACTCCAAATCTGGGTCTAAAATCAGTACAGAAACACTTGCAGCATTATTCTGTTTCGTCCCTGTTCAGCATTGCCGAATTAACATCAATGAAAATGCAACATCATTTCGAGAACATTCAGACAAATATGATTAAAATCTAATGCGCTGGGGATATAGTCTTACTTAAAATGGCAGAGACGTTGTCCTATTCGGATTATAAAGTTATTTCGACCTGTGTAGTATGAAAGACATACAAGAAAGCAGGTATCGTATTTTCCTGTTAGACATTAAACTAAAACAGAAAACAATAGATAGTTTGACTCTTGGATTCCTATTCATTAAAGACAAAACACAGAGGGATCTAGATCGATACATAGTGATGCTTCACACACGTACGAGGGAAGTATTCATATTCAAGACTCAATAAACCAATGTAATCATGTCTTTTTCATATCTTCGATTATTTTTGTGTAGAAACTGTGATAATCAAGAAGTATATGAACCAAATCATATTAATCACGAAAGCGGCAACACAAGACTTTAGTGCTTACCACAAACAGCGTCACTGATTTTCGTGGCTTGAGCTGTTGCCAAGTCACATCCAGCAGATGTTCCTGCTGCAGTCTCGAGACAATCCAAGTACGTTTTCAGGTATCTGAAATATAAACTTTTCATAAAACATGTCCTATTTCGACAATTTATTAATGAAATTTATGAAGTTATGTGTTTGAAGTTTGGAGAGTTCGGGTCGCCACAGCAACATCCTTGGATACAACATATGTTGGTAGGAGAGACAAGTGATAATATATGATTTATTACTTTCTACGGATCCGACAGTGCCAATACGAATGTTGGCAAACCTACTTACTCACAGTCGGTATCTGAACCCTCGGCTGATGTAGCATCGTTGTACGTGGAGGTACATGTAGCACAAGCTTCAGCAGCTACAACACCTGTCGTGAAGATACCTGTAAGAAATAGTAAACATAATCATCAACGCCAGAGAACATCGTGTCTCGATTATAACGCGAAACAGATTCCACAGGCAACATAGCGGTGAGAATATTTGAATAGATCACAGAAAATCAGTGATGACATCATCGAAGAAACGTTGGCCAGGAACATACTGTGTTTGTTTCATTCCTTAAACAAGTTCAAATAAAAAGCAGAAGAAACTCCGTATCCCCCGATGTATTTCAGGCCTAGAATATATACTACTATTACTTTTATACAATGCCAAACAAATATAGATTAACGAAAATATATATTTATCAACTCATGTGGCACAAAATGGGAATTATATACCAACCACTTTACAAACTGAATAACATTATGAGGGTCTCACTTTCCAAATATGTCTTATAGTAGTTAGCGAACAAACGTGTATATTAAAGTAACGGCGTATAAATGCAACTCACATAAAAGCAGAGGAAACACCGCCATCGTCCACATCCTGTATGCACCTGGTTGTTGTCTGGCCTAACCCCGCCGTGCTACACGCCGTCAATATGGGAGACGTGGAGCTTTATAGCGTGTGTTGCTATGGTGTGGTCTGTTTGAAGCACACCCTCGTTCTCCTATGATTTGTTTCTCCTTGGAACTTTACCACACACGGTGATTTTAGATCTTAATGGACGTCTGTGGAATAATTTGGTATCTAACTACGTGTCATGAAGGTTGTGAAAAAAAGTTGATGACCTGCATCTTGCTTGTCTTGTTTTGTTCACGAAAAAGGACAGACGCACAAACATGCACAGCTTTTTATCACAAATAATGGAATGTTTCACAAAACAATTATCTTATCTCAAATGCGCCTCAACCAACAGTCACTGCTTGAAACAAAAAAATACAATTACATAAAGGTGTATTCTGAAAATCAGTGGTCACTTACAGTGTACAAGCAGATGAATCATTTGTTGAATCAAATCAGGCACAATTGTTCAACTTTGTTATTATAGGTTTAATAAAATACATCAATTGGGGATAAATAAATTTTGATCATGACAACATATATCATTGTATATACGTGGCTCAGGATTCGTATCTATATCTCAATTAGGTATGTACTGATAAGAAGTGTGAAGGAATGTGCAAGTAAATGCTTAAAACATATTTGTAGAAATAGGCTAATAGATTTCAGATGCCAATAACCTATATCACTTTGTAATGATATTTTATTGATTGTTAAATGTTTTTAAAAATATCTGTTGTTGAAAAGGATTCTGCTTTGTTGAACCCAATTTTGTTGCAGTATATAGGCACACGTAGTAGAGTGCGAGGGCTAAAAAAGAATACTCAAAAGACAAGTTCGCCGCTCTATAAATCCTTGAAACGTGATTTATCACCTTGATAATATGTCTGGTTTCATAAAACCTTCTACAGTAGGTTTTCGTAGCAATGGCTGTAATTCACGATGCACTGTTAAAACGGTTCTCAAATACCTGGCAACGAACGTGTAAATCATGTACCACCACACGCAGTGTTCTTTTACCCAGCAACAACCAAGTCAGATCTTAGGACATGTATGTTGCTATGTTAACAGGAACATCTGACACCTACCCCGATACCCTTGAACAGGCGACTACTACTTTCTTTAAGATTACTACATGCTGTCACTTGATTATTTAATGTGTTCAGTGCATAAAAAACAGGAATTGTGTTAAAAGGCACATTTGTTCTTAACTTCGTGCATGTAGGTATTAGGTAACCAGGTGTGCAGTGAAGGGAATAAGTGGCATTAATTTGAGAGAAGTGAGCGTACAAGGAACCAGATTCATGAACTCCTATGCAAAAATTGATTATATAAAAACTGACTTTGACATAACAAATTAATTCGTCTTTAACGCGGGTGAATATGGTTTAAAAAAGCATATGCCTGGGCTCGATAATAATATGGATTATGTTCATGTATTTAAGTTGCATTGGAAATCACTGCTCATGTATTCATTTTGGTATTTCAGATGTCCCAAACTCTGCGAATAGCACCCTATATTTGGCGTATGGATAACAGTATATATAGGCTGCTGTGGTAAAATGTAATGTACTTTAATGGCTGTGGTTTAAATTAGCAGCCAGATAATCATTTGGATGCAATCAGGTTGCCAAAGCATGCTACGAATTGCATCCCAGAATAAAGTACATTTACATACCCACTAGAAATGATTGTCACACACATTGAAATAAGTGTATCACGAAAGGGGAGGGAAATATAACCAGTGGAACAACTAGTTTTACTTTTTTCCAAAGACTTCAAGTTGGGCGTGTGTTAAATTTAGTGACAATTACCTTTCCCCTGGTATGAGCACGAACACTTCGAAAAAGGGTACTTGATAATGCTTCTAAAACAGTTTTTGACAACAAGAAGTTAACTGAGCATTGTTGTAAAGTTATTGCCTACTCTCTGCTTGCAAAGTTAGACATGTGGTTGCAAGTGTAAAATATCGAGAACTGTTAATCATATGCAGTGGAAACTAATGTGTCAATTTTGAAAATATTAAGGCCATTTACTCTTATTGGTCATATTATCATTGAAAATTACATCACCCATGGGAGGTTAAAACATATACTTTGAATATAAGGAATGTTTTACCAACAGTTTCTGTATAACTGGGGATCAATAGTAGCACTGACTAGAGCGCCACAATATTTTCATTTATGTTTACTATTAGCATAGTTTTGGCCAGAGTTATTTCACTTTGTTGTGTTCTACATCTGTGTTGTCATAACCTACTGTGACTTCTTGACAAACAGTTTTATTATTGGCCAATAAAATTTGTCTACACTACTAGATTTCCTCGGCAGCTTTTATGAAAACGTTTGTTTATCAGGCTATGTACAGTGTTCGCCTTCTTGGGTACAGAGACACAGATTAATCTCTGACCACTCGTCTACTTCAAAACGAAAGCTTGACCAGACAAAGTTACAGCAATAGCCTAGATGTATAGCCTACTTTACCGATGTAACCGTCCACATATTTATCTGAATTAGTATCTTTTGCGCTCATTCAGTATTCGAGTAGTACAATTGTACACGATCTTATTTATCTCGGTGAAAAGTTCTAAGTAGAGAGCGTTACTTCTTGGTACACAATGTGTAAACCAGGTCCCGGGACAGAGATATTGGACACATCAGGTCAACGATTTCAGTGATGAGGCTGTACCTCAAATAAATCACCAGTTGGAGTCGTGGTTATTACACGGTATTTAATAGTTCCATTACCATTCTGTACACAACCGCATCAAGTGATGTTCAAAGAGTGAGGAGTACAGCAATGAAAGTGGCTGCATCAGCTAGCTAGCCATGTACTAGCATGTATACCAAAACATGATCAGCACTGGGTGTACTGAAGGAACAAAACATTTAAAAACATATCATCAATTATGAATTCATACAAATGATAAAACAAAACCCAGCTGATGGATTGAGGTCTGCACTATCGGAGATCATATCAACATGCGTGAGGACAGAAATCGTGACGGACTTGTTGGAGTCGTCAAACTCAATTAGCTTAAGGACAACCACTGCCAGATCAGAGACATCAGCAGATGGTGGAGAGACAGTAAGACGTATCCAGTCCACGCCATTATGTAACTTACTTACATTTCAGTTTAAACGTAACCATGCTGAATATACGAATAAAACTATTTTGGTTGTATTTGGAAAGTATTCTAGCTAGAAACTGAATTTCTGAAGATGATGGCTTTGCTTCAGAATGACCAAGGGCTTTCCCTATCAACATTTTAAGAACCTCACATGACAGCAGCGTAAGCAAAGGTTTTAAATGTCTGAAATGAACTAATCGTCACCCCGAGAATACTCGTGTTCTGCAACTAGGGTGTTGGGTACCCTTCACCCTCATTTCACGGACTTGTATTTTGGTATTGTTCCTTGCCATATATAACAAACAAAATGTGTTCACAAAACTTTCATGTCATACAGTAATAAATAGGTTTACTCCGTACAATAGTGTCAAATGTACCATTTCCAGAATCAGATGGCGACTTTCGCTTCCTTTTAAGCACATTGCGTCGGATATTATTTCTTTCCATGAAGCAATTGCGTAAAAGAATACCTATTAGCTACAACAATCAAACAGGGATGTACTATTTTCACAAAAAAATACACATGGATGGGTATGATAAGAGCCACCAATACACAAGTTTACATGTTTTTTTGGTTTTGGTTTGTTGTTTAACGCCGCACTCAGCAATATTCCAGCTATATGACGGCGGTCTGTAAAAAATCGAATCTGAACCAGGCAATCAAGTGATTTATATCATGAGCATCGATCCACGCAATTGGGATCGATGACATGCTTCAACCAAGTCAGCGAGCCTGACCACCCGATCCCGTTAGTCGTCTTTTACGACAAGCATAGTCGTCTTTTACGGCAAGCATGGGTTGCTGAAGACCTATTCTACCCCGGAATCTTCAAGGGTCCGTTTTCATGTGTAAGTACATGTACAGTTTGCTTAATAAAATGTAAGAGGTTGTCATGAACGCAAGCATGTATTTACGAGCAAAGGGCAACCACCGACATCTACGCAACTTGTACGTATAAGTACATACGTCATTACAAAACAGAATCAAAGAAATATATGCAACAAAAAAAATTCCATAATCATAAGAGTCCATTGTGCGATACCTACTAAACCATTAGCATGTTCATATCTGGTGTTATTCCTTATTTTGCCCTTCTGTTCCTGTATTTTTAAGGAAAACAATTGACGTGTCTTTGCCTGTTTTTGTGGCGGGTGCCACAGGGTGATACCTGATATCATCACTATGTGATAGCGATTCATGTACACATGCTCAGTACAGTGGAAATCGTACAGTCGACTATAAGAGATTTCCTTTGGCAGATGAGAGTGTTTTGTCGCTTTTATTATTATGAATCATGTCCAAATGATACCACGTGTGAAAAAATGGGCGTATCCTGGAACGGGATGACACGAATGACATGAATGAATTTATATACCAATAACCTTAACTACACATACCGATGTACAAACTTAAAGGCTTATCTCTTTTAAAATAAGAGGCGATAAAGGTGCAGAAATATGCACCCTGCCTCACTAATAGTAACCATGCGGAAGTACCTGTACCGCTGATCATGAAGTCAGTTTCCCTGGAAATAGAAACCCCAGTGCATCATCTTGATCTGATTGGCTGGTAGTTCAAATCGAACTGTCATCTGACTGGCATGTAGACCACTTGCTGCCATCTGATTGGCTGGTTTGAATTTTGCAACCATCTGATTGTCATGCCCTTCGAGGCAATATTTTACGAACGCCTCCCTCGTTCCATTTTCCAGGTCAAAAACGTTAGGTTAGAGTTAGAGTACGAAATCATCCAAGCTTTCTTTATGACTGATAGTCAGCGGCAAGTTCCACAAAGAAATTACCACCCTTGAATATCAACCTGAACTTCAAACTGTCATCAAAGAAAATGGACTTCAGAGGCAAAGGCAATGTTAAGTACAATGTTAGTCTCTGTTACTTCTA